CTCTACAACTTAGTGCAAACACCGGCACTGCAGTGATGCTGTTTAAGGTATCAAGTGCCTGCCTGGCACACCATCATGCCATGGGGATCTGTAGAATATCCCTCCTGGAGACACAAGTTCTGTGTGCCTTTGGCTCTGCTGGTTCGCATCTCCTACTGGCTCGAGGAACATTGCTGATCAATCTCCCAGGCTGCCTTCTTGCACCTCCCATCTCAGTTCTGCTTGTGAATGGTTAATTGCTCTTTCTAGGTGGCTGGCTTTATTCTTGTTCAAAATCATGTTGCTCCTCTTTATTATTTGCTCGCTGTCTTCTGTTATCACATCATACAATTATGAAAGAAAAGCTTGCACAGTTTATAATTGTCTGCATGGATTTTGTGCCACCTGTACTTGGATTTCACAGTATTCACAAAACTTTTGTTCTTCCAGTTTTAGCTTGCTGTGCTCTCACTGTCTTCTTAGCTGCAGCAGAGCTGTAAGAAAATACTCTTATTTCCCTAATGTTTAAACGTCTGCCTTTCTTCTTTAAACTTTCTCTTTCCCCTGGTTATCATAATCTTACTTGGTTAGTACTGGTTTTGTTCCGTTTTCATATTCCTCTTTGCTTTGTCTCTTTCTATCCCCCCCCCATTTCCTTCCCCCTCCTGCTCCTTTTTCTTGGTGTCTCACTGCATTATAAGCACACGGGAGAACTTTTCTGAATTTGGGTTTATTCTAATGCATTGAGTACATGTCAAACACTAGAAAGAACAACTGAAAGTGATTATAACAACAGTGGCTGCCCTGCTCCCCACTCCCACAGCAAGCCTAATAGCCGAGTGGATGCCTGAACTGGAATCCTCCACATACAAACTCAAAACTTAAGACTCTATACTTCATTGGCTCTGTCATTAGTACTCAGATGAGGCCAATCAAATTTAGTGCATGGCCGGTTGAGGTATCACACTAATGGTTACATCAGCAGATACGATAATATGATTTTGGGGCCATTTATGATGATGCCACGTTTTCTGGACAGCTGAAGTATTAGCCGGGGGCCAATGTTAGTGGCAAATTGGCAGCAGTTTCAGAGATAGATTCAAACTGCCCTGGTATTTTCCAGGGTCTGGTTTTGCAGCTCTCAAGATAACCACTTGTTGGGAACTGAGAACACAGATGTTGGCTTTCTGCCTAGGCAAGGCTTTCCAACCCAACAAGCTGTGCATGTTGTGCCATGTGCCATCACTTCTTCCCCAAAATGGGTCCAGTTCTGAAAGGGCAGCTTGGCATCCAGATGGACAACAGCTAACTGCCACCCAACAAGGGCTGGGAACCTTCTGGGCCAAATTAACCCAATCAGCTGTTGCCTTGCTCACAAAAATGTATATTCCTGCTTTCAGCAATGTCGGTAGAAGATCAGCAGGGAAGCCATTGCAAGAAAAAGTAGCTTTGAATTAAAGCTACTTTGACACCAAAAAGTCATTGTTTATGATTTGCTACATAATTTTCTTTCTTAAAGGCATCTAATAACATGTATGTTTCTTTGTCTATAGGAAGCCGGTCACTACAAAGAACAGCAGGGACCCCATTTGACAAAGGCAGGTTTAATCCTCAAAAGCACTTATACCTCTGGCCAAAACATTTAGAGCTCATTTGCATAAACAATTACAGGAGCGTATCTACAAGGTATGTGTACCAAACACACAAATCTTGTTCCTTTAAAAGGGGGCTGGGGGATGAGCTGTCTAACTTGCTAAAGCTGCTATAGGTAATTGTGAGGTACAGAAATAATGAGAATGTGCATTGCAAAATCACATTTTGGAGCATCTCTTCTGCCATGAGCATACTGGGTAGCCTTAGGCTTAACTCCTTATCTGCAAATTATAGGAATGATAAAATGCTGGTCAAAATTGATGATTACAGTAGAGTAACTAAGTACTAGCGATCTTGATTCACAAGAAGCTTGCTGTGAATTCTCCGCCTAACCAAAATGTAGAAAACTTGTATTATTGTTATTTACTGGATATATACACTACACCTTCTCCCAAGGAGCCCAGGGAGGCAAACACATCAATACTTATGCAATTAAAAGTTCTAACAGTTTAAAGCAACTTTCTAAAAAGCAATTATTTGCTCTCAAACTAACAATTTCAGGGTTGCCAGGGACACAAGTTTCAGCCAGCCAATGCCTGGGTAAACAGGAACGTCTTTGAATTTCTTCTAAATGTTAATAGCGAGGGAGATTGACGCACCACACTCTCAAGGGAGGGCATTCCACAAATGAGTGACTGCTTCTGAGAAGCCAATGGCATAGGTCACCACCAATTGGGACAACCACCAACATGGCCTCCCCAACTGATCCTAAAGCTTGGAAGATGGTTGATACTGGGGAAGGTCAGGAAGAGGCAGTGTAAGCTGCTCCCATCACTCATGACTCAGAACAACAGTTCTGGTCAGATTCACCCAGTCTATTGTTATTTCATGGAGTGTACATTAACATTTTTTGAGAGTAAAATATTTTTATTAATTTCCACCAAAAAACCCCAAAATCATTGCATTAAAAACCCCCCATAAAATAAAACATTTATAACAGCTGCATACAGAATCAATATTAAATCCACATTATGGGACTTCCCTCTACTCCTTCCCTTGGTTCCTTTGTATTATCTACATTCATGCATGTCAATAAAATCTTTATCTCTAATTACCTCCAAATTTAAACATTGTTTATCGCATTACAAGTGTTTTTTAAAGACTATGGAAGAATGATATAAAAATTGCGGCTTGTACCTTACTTAAAGAGAACTATATGGTATTTAACACCGGTTAAATTGGCAAAAATGTATAAAACAAGTGAAAATAAGTGTTGGTAATGTAAAGAAGTAGAAAGTACCATATTTTTCGCTCTATAACACACACCTGACCATAACACGCACATTGTTTTTAGAGGAGGAAAACAAGGGGGGGGGGATTCTGAAGAAACAGTGGATGTATCATTTTTGTGCCTCATGCTGTGGCCACAGACATGTGATCTGATGGTGAATGTGGGGTGACCCAATGCAAAAATCCTGAGAATCCCTGTGGATCTGTGCTTTGTAACCACGTTTTTGCACCATTGTGGCCCCAGGCAACAGTGGGTGTGTGATTTTTTTGGTGCAGGCTGTAGCCATGGACATGTAATGTGATCTGATGGTGAATTTGGGGTGACCCAATGCAAAGATCCTGAGGATCCATGTGGATCCGTGCTTTGTAACCACGTTTTAAGTGGGGAGGGAAGGAAAAACACAGAAGGGACAAGGAGCACAAGAGGGGTGTGCAGAGAAGCAGCTGGCTAAGAATGCAGGAGTGGGATTTAACGGGAGGGAGGAAAGGAAGGCAAAAGTTTCCCCCCACCCAGCCACCCAAGCCAGCCCCCCCCCCTCTCTCTCTCTCTCCCACCTGCATGTTTTCTGGCTGCCTGCGAGTCCCTAAAATGCTTCCCTGGACGCAGCAGCACCGGAGCACGGAGTGGAATTAGAAGGAAGGACATGATGTCACTGTATTGTAAACTGATTGGGGGGGGGGAGATATTGACAAGGCAGATGTTGAGAAAGAGAAAGAATGATGGATCGATTCCCTTTTTCTAATCCCCCCCCAAAAGCTTTTTCTATAAATTGTTGGCTGTGCTTGACAACCTATAGAAATATTGCTGGGGGGGTGTCAGAAAAAGGGATCTGCTTGTTCCCTTCGCTGCTGTCTGGTAAGAAGCAAGGGGGGGTGAGGAGAGGAGGAGAGAGGGAGAGGAAATGGGTGCCCCTTTCTTTGCTTTGGGGAAATTCATTTACTCCTTTCCCTTTTGCCCTTACCAGGCAGCAGAGAGAGAACAAACTGATTCACTTTTCTTTCTTTCTTTTTCACAAAACAGGATAAAGAAAGAGGCACCATCAGCTCTACTTCTGCCACTTGGGAAGGTGGGGCAAAAATACTGTGGGAAGTCAAAAGAAGAAGAATCTGATTACTGAAATTTCTTGGGGGCAGTCCACAAACAACTGGATTGAAGAGGCCTCAATATGGCGGAATACCATGGGAAACAGGACTGAGTAACTGGCCTTAAAATATGTTAGTCCAAAGGAAGAGATGAGCACTCTCTAAATATTTAATGCACAACCCCCCTTCCCAGTCCTTTCCATGGTTTGGTTTCTCCGTAACAACTGGCTCCTTGACACTGCAGAGTTAGCTGCCTTAGGGATCCACAACATGTGAGCACAACAGACAGCGCCTGGGTTTCAGAGATCTCATCCAGACAGCTCATGCAGAGAGAAATCTATCATAGAAATGTGTTTATCAGTCTGGAAAAGATGATGGATTGTGTCGGCTCCGCTGGGAGCTCTTCTTAAAGGGGTGGGGGTGGGGAACGCTTCAGATGATTTAAGCTTTGCATTCTGATTTTCACAACTACATTTTTCAGGGGCAATGCTTTCCAAAATGTTGTGCTGAGAAAACTCTTTCCACATCAGCTCATCCGCCGAGGAAGGGGAAGGCCAGGAGCACTCGCTTCTGTACCATGGAGTTTGGGTGGGGAGCAGAATGACAAGGGTGGAAGAAATGGCCCATTAACCACTTGCTAGCCTTGGTGGAGAGGAAGATTGCAGGGAGAAAAGATAACACGTAACCATCACAGGGGTTGGGGAAGAGCCAAGATGGTCTAGCAGTAACTGGGAAACTCTTCGCAACTAAGCATGTATTGGGTGCCATTTCCTCACCGTTTAGTAATCATATGAGTCACATCTGGTTGCTTTTTCAACAGGGAAAGAAAATAACACCGTATTTGATCCCTCCATCCTTGCTGGAGATATTTCCAGTCCATGGCACGGTCCACTCTGTCCTGTCTCCACACTAATCAGTTATTTGTAATAAAAATCTGCACCAAAGTACACAGGCAAGGTTATCCTGCCTAAAGCCACAAGGGTCCTCAGAAACACAGACATCCTCTTATTGTCAGAGACCCCTGGCTGGGGAGGAGTAGAAAGTTTGGGTACCACATCTCTATAGCTCAGTGGGCAGAGCATGAAGCTCTTAATTTCAGGGCTGTGAGTTTGAGCCCCCCACTGGGCAAAAGATTCCTGCATTGCAGGGGGTTAACTAGATGGCCCTTGTTGTCTCTTCCAACCCTATAATTCTATGATTCTATCTTATTGAAGGACACTTCTGTCTAAATGCACAGCTTCCCTCTGCTCTCATCATCTCCCTTCCCCCTGCTCTGGGGTTAGGAGGTTGCTACCTTCTTCCCTTTTTCTCACCACTTCCTTTCCCTCAGCCCTCTCCTTCCCCTGCTCCCTCCCACCATCCCTGCCTCCTTAATCCTTAAAATGCCTTCTCAGCATTGCTCTCCAGGCTGCCTTGCCTGCTTCCTCTTATGCTACATAGTCTTCTTTCACTTCCACCCCACTTTGCCACCTCCTCCCCCCAATGGGGCCTATTCCTAAAGCTCCCAAAATACACAATTTTAGATATAATGGATATGGCATTAAAAAAATCCTGAGAAGGTCTGAAATCCAAAGAACGTGTATCCAGGGGTGCAGGCCCAAACACGGGGGGGGGGGGGGATATGGGCCACTTGGCCCAGGCCTCCGATTCCAAAGGGGGCCTTGCCAAAAGCACTATTATATATCTATATTTTCCATTTTGTCTTTATATACAGATACTGTTCAAGCCTTGAAATAAAATTATTTGTCAGCATAACTTTTGTGAAAATTATTTATATACTTACTTATTTATAAGACTTCAGTTATCCCCAGGGTAAAAAAAGGGGGGGGGCACATTATTTTCCTGGCCCGGGCCTCTGCCTGGCTCTGCAAGACCCTGCAGGGGTGTAGCTAGCTGCTCCGGCACCCAGAGAGGCAGTGGTGGGGCAAACCACCCCGGTGGGGGGGCCGTCCAGGTGATCTGCTGGGGGGGCGCCACGGCAAGCTGCCCACGGAGTCCGCCTGGCAGACGCAATCCCCATGCTGCCATTTTGGGCAGCATGGGGCGCCGAGTCACCGTGTCACTCCCAGGAGAGATGTGTGGCTCAGGCGCACTGCGGGTCAGGCCCCGCGGTAAGTGCCACCCCCTGCAGTATGCCATTTTGTTATCTCCTCAAGGATGACACCGGGGTGGGCTGCAACCCCACACCCTTCCTATGCCTCTGGGTGTGTCAGGTCATTGTATCGGACTTCACAAATATCTAATTGCTTGAGCATTCCTGAGCAGTAGTCTCCACCTGTAAGGAGCACACCCCAAAGAGGGGAGAAAAGGTTGTAAGACAAGAAAGATGGAATGCAGTGCACAGTTACTTCAGAGCAAGTCCCACCGGACTCCTCAGGCCTTGCTTCCAAGAAGCAATGCACAGAGGGAAGAAGGAAGCGGGTGAGGCACGAGAAACACAAAGTTAAAAGGTAACAGAAGGAAAGAAGTGTGCAACCAGTGAGAAAAATTATGAGGGGAAGGAGGTATGAAGAGAAAAACCTAGAAGCAGAGGGAAGGTGAACATAAAGTTCTTCACTTGGGAATAAGTCCCACTCTAACTCAGTAGGCCCTACTTCCAAGGAGAGGGAGCAGCAGCGCTGTGGTCTAAACCACTGAGCCTCTTGGGCTTGCTGATCAGAAGGTCAGCAATTCAAATCCTCACAACAGGGTGAGCTCCTGTTGCTCTGTCTCAGCTCCTGCCAACCTAAGAGTTCGAAAGCACACCAGCGGGAGTAGATAAATAGGCAGGAAGGTAAATGGCGTTTCTATGCGTGCCACACCCCATAGTCAAGTTTGACTGGACTTAACTGTCCAGGGGTCCTCTACCCTTACTTTACTCCCAAGGAAATATGAATGGGGTTGGGAGGAGCATAAAATTCAGGGGGAATAAATTCAGAGGGACAAGAGGAGAGCGGACACGAGGCTCAATGCCAGAAATGGGGCGTTCTATCACCTGTGTGTGAGACTAGAATGCTAGCTGTCACACATTCCTGCTTCCGCCCCTCGTGGATATTCATTGGTATTCCATGATTTGCCATCCACACCGGTGGGCTGTCCTTGACAGAATGTCTGCTGTGCTCTGCTGCTTTTGTTGTCTTGCCCCTCCTTTGCGCAGGAGGACAGGAAATACTTTCACAAGGACCCTTTTCTCTCTAATCGTGCTGGAAGTGAACAAGAGCAAATGTTGTTGTTGTTTTTTAAAAAAAAGATATTTATTGAGATTTTCAAAATGTTACAAAAAAGAGAAAAAATAAAATAGAAGCAGAAGAGAGTACAAAGGATAAAAATAATTGACAAAATGGGAAAAAAGGGGAAAAAAACCAACCCCTTCCCACCATATACGAAAAAATTCCAAATGAGAAAAAATGACAGAAAAAAAGAAAAAAGAAGAATGCAAAAATCACAAAACTTTAAAAACATTTAAAAACAAATTCATTATTTTCAAATCCTTAACTGTCATTACCTTCTTTCTTAGACCTCCTCCTCCTCCCTTTCTTTGTATCCTAGTTATTAATTATCCCAGCAAATCCTTGACCTTATCTTTCTATAATAAAATAAACCTTAAAACTTAAAACTTAAATCTTATCCTTACCAACTTCTCATAATCATAATATTCTTTCATAATTCTTTAAACATCTTTGCTAAAGCCAAGTAATTTCATTCCAACATTTTTCTATCATTCATCAATTTTATAAAACAGTTCTAATGGTTGAAAAAGAGGTATAAACAGATCCAATCTTCATCCAGCGTCCCTTCCTCCTGGTTCCGGGTTTTGTCAGTCCTTATTCCCGTCAATCTAGCCCATTAACCTGGCAACCTTATGTCCGAGGCCCTCAAGTCTCTTCCATGACCCTTCCGCGGCTCTTCTTCATACTTGTAACTGTATTTTCCCTTGTCTCCTGCTCGTGGTAACTCCAGCTTGACAATGTTTTTAACCCTTCTCAACAGATCAGCCCCTTTTCCATGTTCAACAATGAATTCCATGTAGTATTTAAAAGCATGTTTCAAAGGCCCTCCAAAATTGAGAGCCCCACAGTCCCAAACATCTCACGGCCCGTTGCCGTATTTGAAAAGTCCAAACATCCCAGCATAGGGGGGTCAATCCAGCCCCCCATTTCCAAACCAAGCCAAACTTTTCCTTTCCAGATATGGCTTTTTCCAAGTTCATTTGTCAAATTCAAAAATCATATTCCTGTTGGGCCTGTTCTGTCAAAACACACTCCTGATTTAATGTCAAAAACTCCTGTTCTGTCAAGACACACTCCTGATTTAAATCCTGAGTGGGCTCCACATATTTTCCCACTGTCTGTTCAAAGTTTCCCACTGCCTGTTCAAAATTTCTAGTCGAAGTCGCCATCCAATTCACCTTCTCGTGTAATTGTTCCAGTAGATCGTTTGTTTTATAGAGAGCATACAACAAGGCTTCTGAATACATTGTCCTACAAGGTCAGATACTTGTTCCCACGGTTGTAATCTGTAACAGCTGTCGACTCCCTGGAGTTAGTTACAGTTTCACAGTTACAATTTCACAGACTCCCCCTAGGGGGAAGAGTTCTATTTATTCTTGCAACAAAGTTTCCCTTTTTAAGATACTTTGTCCATATATAATCCTTTAAAATGCGAAAGGGAACAGTGGAATCACTAGGTTTCTCTTCTTTTAGCCATCTGTCAAAAACACTTGTCTTTGGTTAATGAACTTCACGCGTCAGTCCTGACAGCCCGCTCCAGGATCAGGACGGAGGAAGGTTACTTCACTTTAAAGTCACTTTAAACAGTCCAAAAAGATCTCCCCCTTCTCCTGCTGTCGAAGGGGGATTCAACAATTTTAAATGGTGAAATCCAATCTTTTAAAAGTGATTTCCTGAGCTCTAGTTTAAATTGCCTTTGCTTTATTCTGTTTACAAAAGAACGGAAGGATGACTTCCTGTTTAGACCTTCCCGTTCCGTACCAAATTCAAGTAAATTTTTAACGTCCGATTCTTTCCTACTCGCAAGTCCTTATTTGATGTCCAGTTGTTCAAAGTCTAAGTACTCACGGGTGCTTATTTTAAAGTCCAAATTGTCCCAGGAAAAAGGCAGCGCTCTCCGGCAACGGCCATGCGGCTTCGCTCCACGGAAATAGCAGTTGACTCACAGCACCGCGCCACTTCCCTCTTCACTTCGGAGCCCGTTAGTGGGTTCCTTAGCGGGTTGGGGGCGCTAAAGGTGCCCGCCGAGTCCCATGGTCACAGGCTTCATCCGCCTGTGATTTTTAAGTGGGTCCCCGCTTCGCCGTAGCGGAGAAGACCCGTTTTCCGCGGAGCTAGTCCCTCCAGTTCAGAGGGAGTCCGCCATTGCCGGTGGCGCCACCCCGGAAGTCCGAACAAGAGCAAATGTTGCCAGCTGGAAAGATCCATCTATAGAAACTTGGCAAATCTGGCAGGCAGCGGTGCCTTTACTTTTTCTTTCTTTGTTGCATTTTACACTCCTGGGTAGCTTTTGTTTGTTTGTTTGCTTGCTTGCTTGCTTTTTAAAAAGAATAAATCTGTGTTTTGAGGAGTGGGGAAGGGGGCAGAGGGAAGAGAGAGAAAGAAGAAGAAAACTCGCAGCCCCAAACAAACCCACACAAATGCCAAAAAGAACAGCTTGCTTGCAGACTTGGTTTTTGCAAAGCAGCCATTGTGGGTGTGGAGCTAGTCAAGCAAAAAACATGGAGGGGTCAATTTCCTTGAGTTTGGCATGAGAAGAATGGGGAAGGGTGCAAATTGAAGATACGATTTTGAGAAAGAAAAATCCTGAAAACTTAAGACTAGAAGCCATCTAACAGTATGACTTTGTGATGGTAGTCTCTCTTTGTTACAGTAGATAAATATGTTTCTAAGGCTGTACAGTACATAAACCAGCCTTTTAAAACATTTAACACAGAAGTCTTGTATGAGTGAAATCTTGCAGAAGCCCCCTGTTGTTGCACAGAATTTTGCTCAACGGTTGCCATTAATTTGATTTTAATTAATTTTTATAATGAAATGTTTTTAGAATGTTGGATTATTTGATTGTTGGATTATTTGATTGTTGTTAGCCGCCCTGAGCCCGGCTTCGGCTGGGGAGGGCGGGATATAAATAAAATTTA